CAGCCAGATCAAAACCACACTCACCAAACTTACTTTTAACTGAATCATCTAGATGGCCCTTAAAAGAATCATACACTAGCATTGTTGGTTTATTTCTAGTTCCATTTTTTAGTCTTAATTCGTGAAGATAGTCCACATATTTTATTATTAATTTGGTATCCATCCAACTATTGGTTTGAAACCAAACTATGATACTAGCTGGGATTCATTTTTGCTCTTTACGTATTAATCACTTTTTCTTAAAAATGCAAATTGGAGGAGTTTTGTTCCATCTACAATAATAAATATATAACAGCATTAGTAAATAGAACATTATACTAGATGAAAATGAATAAATAAATAAAAACATGCCTGCAGCACATGTTAAAACAACTGTAAATCTATTTTTGTTATTACCCATAGCACGAATATGAACTGTTTTTTTACCTTTCAGATTGACAGTAAAGTTACTAGCCATATTAAACCAAACGAATGTTTCGTCCATATTAAGGATATTGTCCAATTCAAAAAACTTTAGGCTTTTAAGTCGAGTAATATGTTCATAAAATTTTTTCAACAACTCCTGAGTTTGTTTAAAAAGTTTTTGTGAAATTCTTGTATGTTGTCGCAGTGCTAATTTATTTCTTTTCATAAATGCAACTGTCTAACGATATGACATTTTGAATATCTTTGCAGAATCATCATAAAGAGCTACCATATCTGGTTGTTGCAAAATCTTCATCATTAGGTTTTGCATAATCTCGTAAGTTACAGCTAATGCCTGCTTTCTTTGTTTGATTATCCACATATATAAGCATTTTTCAGCCTCAGGGTAAAAAGCTCTTCGACCAGAACCAATTCGCTTGCTTTTGTTATTGGTTTCTGCTGTCCAATTTGAGCTTGCTTTTATCTAGTGTCTAACTATACTGGCATTAAAGTTAAAATTAACTGCTGCTATATTTCTTCCATGCTGTACCGCATAATCAATCACTACCAATTTTTGTGTAATAGAATAGGAGGCCCATTTTCATTTAATGACTTTAGTACTACATTTAACGATTTGGTTTGCTTCACTTAAAGAGATATTTTCTTTATTGTATTGTGTTTGTGTTTTAACAAAACTACCAGTATTATTATGAACAAGTGGAAGACTTTTATGCTTTAAAATTTTCTCCCAAGTTGAATTGGGAACATTTTCTTGACCTGATCGGGAATGTTATCTTCTTTTGGCTTGAGAACATTTTTTTGACTTGTCTTGAGAACATTTCTCTGATTTTGCTTGAGAATATTTTCTTGACTTGAATTGGAAGCATTTCTTTGGTTTGATTTTCGAGTAGGTCGGCCCATATTTATCCCTTAAACCGTCCAGTAGCTAAATATACCTGCTAGAATATTTTTTTTTATATTTTTTTATAATTGCTTAAAAT